CTGAATCTCCAGCTCCAGCCATATACTCTCTGATTGCAAGCTGTATTTTTTCCTTGTCCATGCTTGATATAATACTCGCTTGCTCCCACAGTTTCTGTAGGATAATTCCTCGACTTTTGATCCACTTGCGTTCATCCTGCTGCATTCTTTCAGCCACTTGTCTGCCTCTTTCTGATGTAGCAGCAACAAGGAGTGCAATTTCCTTTCATGGTTTGTTCTATATAGGTTTGAATAAACCCATTCGTTGAAATCTCATAAATTGGAGGACTTGCTAGTGACTTTCAAGATCCTTTCCTTTAAGAGAGCACTTCTTGGACTTTAGATATTTTCTTAGATCCTTAATTGCTATAAACACTAGTAGTTAGCTCAATTTCCACCTAGTTGATTCAATATTCTCCTAGATTTATAGTATATACTAGACAATAAATAACTTACCTGAGGATAGTATCTGGTACTTAACCTTCTCCTTCTGAATATTGGTAACCCTTGGCCAAACTTCAATTGCATCCTTTATATAGGATTGCAATTGGAGTTCTGACTGAAACCCATGCTCACCCTCTCCTGCCAATATTAATGTAAGCAGTATTATACTCTCTTCTTATTCAAGCTTATTTATATCAAACATTGGTAACATACCTTCCTGAATGAAATCCACCTCTTCTCTACTATTTAATGCAGTAGCTATCTCCAATTGCTTTCATCTCCTCCATAGCCTTTGTCGAGATGGTGTTTTTTGTACTACTGAACCCGATTCAATTTCTATTCTACTTCTTAGCAATTATTTCTATTAAATTATTGAATTACTTGTACACCATACCTGAGACTAGTTCAATAGCTTCTTCTGATACACTTACTGCTTAGCCCCTGGTCGGATCTTCCTCTACAAGTGTTGCTTCATCTGGAATCTCGCTTGCTGAAGGTATCTTATAGGATCTACCACCCAAAGGGCCAACCTCTCGACTGGCAGCTCTTGCTTTTTTAAAACGTGGCATATGTGGAAATAAAAGTTGTTAGATATAGAATTAAAGAGATATGATATACAGTTATTATCAATTTGGTTTATTGTTAAAGATACATATTTTATATATCATATTATAATCTACTTGTATTATACTATAATACAAAGTTATTGTGATTATGCATCTGCGACTACTAGGTTACTGGGTTTCTTAAAAACCCTTGTTAAAATTCAAGGTTTTGCCATAGAACCCTTATTCTAATATGTGTAATTTACTATTACTAAGCAAATTAAGTGTGGCTGTCGTAACACCTTTTCTCCTCTTACACCAAAAGTAGCAACTTTTAAATCCTTAAGGCTTTACAACTATATGGCTAATTGGAAAAAAAAAACCTGTTTATTATTCTCCATTATTAGCTCTTTCAGAAACAGGTTTTTTTGCTCGTTTGGAGATGTGGTGGTAAAGCCTTTAGGATTTGAAAATGATGAAAAATCTGGTACACATTTTAGAGATCTTGAACCATATATACTTGGCTTTATTTTTAAGTCTAATCTTTTTATATTTTCTATCATACTACTTTAAACTCAGTTTAGAGAGGTAAAAAGTTATGCTTATTGCTGGAGCCAAATATACTATCAATTATATTTTTATGTATATTTAGTAATAACTCAAAAATGAACAATCAGATAATTAAGAAAATTGGAGGGTGAGAAGAGAATGACCCAATCTTATAGTCTATGATATTTAATTATATGAGAGTATATATTCTGATATCTTATAAAAGCACAAGTAGTATTCGTAAGCCTCTTCAGTATAATATTAAAATGATGATTTAAGACTTACTGTTACTTTGCTTGGCATTTGTGTACTTGGCACAATTATTATATCTTGGCATATTCATTATATGACCATGTTTTTTGAAAAAGATTGTCTTATATAATAAATTTCTTTTGATTATTTTATTTTATTTTATTTTATTTTATGTTGTTTTGTTTCTTGCTCGTTTATGCTGACTAAATATGGTCATGTGATCTGGTTTTTGTTACGTTTGCAGGGGTACCCAATGATATTAGTATAGATGCTGCCGCCCTCCCCATCTTCCCCATCTCCCCTCCTCGCCCACAGCCCACCCGCCCATCCCCATTCTTGCCTACACGTTATACACAACTACTACGACAGACGCCTTACCGGAATGTATCTGCTATCTCTCGAAAGGCGTTGGATTCGCCCAGCATTGGTTTCCACCTCACCCAAGTATCAGCTATGCCAACAGGGGCGACAGATCAACACATGGCACAGTGCGATGATACAGGCACAGTTTGGATTGACCTGGTGGTGGGCTATACTATCGGCTTCCCAATCGGGGCTATGTGCGGCCATGCCATATCACAGGTTTTGTGTGCCCGTGCCATGACCGATAATCCTTTGACTGCGGGGAGGGGGAGTGTCCTGGTCGAATCGGAAAAAAGCTCGCAGATGGCACACCTGCTAGATCACAGGCCACTGCTGCCCACACCGACATCCATGCCTACCCCGATGTTGATGGCATGGTACCCACCATTGCCATTATGCATCTCGTAGTCCTCACGATATCCGAGTGCGCTCTCATCCTCATCGTTCGGATTGTGACGCGGTGGTGGGTATAGGTGGCAGTAGTGGGGAGGGTATGGAAAGGTGGTCTGTGGCTTTCTAATTGAAAGATGACACTTTAAACCTTTGGGCGTTATATCCGTAAGATGTACCACTATAAGGATTCAAGTTGGGTGATGTGTTGGCCTCTCGATTGACTACCTGTATGTACATATATTACCGAGCTTGCTGATTGGATTACAGGCACTCTCTCTCCAGTAGTGTGTTCATAGCAGTGCCAATCATATGTGCCATTGCAAAGGTCACAACAGCTGCGCGACCACGCCCGCCACCGCCAACCCAACCTTCATACCTCGGTTTATATCTTTGCCCTGTAGGTGCTACCGTCCCCCCTTCCTTCGTTCCTTCTGGGGCATGCCACTGAAGCATATTGAATGATTAGTGAAAGAGCTTCAGAGGGCGGGGAACGGTCAGGGCAGTTGTTGTATTTCGTTGTATTGTATTCCTTGTTTACTTCGTTCTTTCACAGGAACTTCCATCTTTCATAGTAGGCTATACTGCGCATTCTGGCCCACCATCCGAGTGACATGGAAGCGCTACCTTTACACGATGTATTCATACCGCAACACCTCTTCCACAATGGGTAGGTGCTAGTTGTGATACGAGGTGATAGGCCGTGATCGCCGCCTATTCCCGCCCATCCACCTGTTTGCCTGACCGACATACGCTATCGTGAGGGGGGTTGCCTAAATAAGGTGTGGGGTAAAGGTAATCTCTGTACCCTGAATGAAGGTTTTTTTTTTGGTCACCTTTATTCATCTTTTTCTCACCACAAGACATGTTTTGCGCGAACGGGCGACTGAATGCGGAATGGTGTAACAAGGCCTATCTGGGTGTGGGGAGTCTGGTCAGACCTTATAAAGCACCGGGAGGGTACAGTGGTGTGAGGTGCTGGGTCCACTGGCTGTTGATTCCGAGTGAGCACCTGTGACCCCTGGCTCTTCCGATGGTTAATTTGGTAATTACCTATTCCCTGGGCCGAGAGGACGCTCAAATGCTGGTATAACACCTACCACCCGCCCCAAACAGAAAGCTGATATTGACTCAAGCTCCCCACATGCGTAGCAAATGAGAATGTATCGAGAGCCGACCAAGAACTAACCAGTGTGACCGTACCTTCATGGCCCAGCGGTACGTGTCCTGGAAGGCTCAGCAACACAACGAATAACAACAATTGGACATGTGTTTGTTTCTAATTATTTGTTTTCTGAATTTTATTATTGTAGCTATATAGTATGTAGTTCTTGCTTAGCAGCTATACTGCGACAAACAAACTCAATAACTTCCTGAGACGATTGGCAGTCCCAGATTCCTGATATCGCGGTCAACATTAACAACCATATGTCGGCCGTATTCCCCCGGGAACCGTACCATTTCAAGCAATGATAAGGAATTCGTCATCATCAGAAACCTGGTGAATAACAACATTGGGGAAAGTAGTGACTATCTGCTCCTGGCGGAAGGTTGGCTCTCGTCTTGTATCTGAAATCACCGATCGTGCTAGACAATACAAGGTTGCTATTAACTCGCCCAAAGTCGACAGATCCACCAGTAATAGGGTGCCTTATCCTGAGCACTAAGAGAAATTAATTAAGGTGCCAACTCTATGATATTATGGGTTTACCGCCAGTTTGTGTATACCGATACTGTAGGATAATGTTGGGAGTCTTCCCTTCGTTGTTATGGTGATAATGCTACCTTGGAGTCACAACACATAAACTACTTGAAAGTTTCTTATTTGGGTTTAGCTGGGGGTTTGTTTGTGACACTCTCTACGCCTGTCTCTAGACTTCCTCTCCCTCTCTCCCTCTCTCCCTCTCTCCCTCTCTCCCTCTCTCTCCCTCTCTCTCCCTCTCTCTCCCTCTCCCCCCCTCTCCCTCTCTCCATTACTCTCCCTCTCCATCACTCTCAATCTTCAATCGTGTAACCTACACTTTTCATTTTCATCAAATATCAATAAAATGAGAGCATTCAGCACACCCCCAGGTACAAGTGCCATGGGTGAAGTCTTCGCACACACTACTTTGTGACCTCACCAATTTTTAACATTTTTTTGCTGGTAAGCCACTTTGGTGTGTGCGAAGACTTCACCCATGGCACTCTTCTGGGAATTTGGGGGATGTTTCGGGGGAATATTCTTAATATGTTCTCCTCCGGTCACCTTCTCGCACGGTTCCCGCAGGGTTGCGAGCGTTCTGAGGCTAGGGGATGAGAGGTCATTGGAAAAGAGGGGTGAGGGGGACTGAGTGCTGGAGAGGCTCTTGCAAATCATGTTCAATGACGGATAGTACGATACAACAAAACTTTCTCCCCTCTATAAATTCTCCCTTTATGACCAGTATTTGAACTTTGTGGCTTCGGAACTGGATCTGTTCACCTTGAACTTGAAGGATGTTTATTACACACTTAACTCGGCCCAGGCTGCCGATAGTACTTTTGAGCAAGCCATAGATAAAGTTATCGGTGATCTGTTTTCAGTAGCAGTGAGACCTTGAGGAGGGAGCTTTTGGCTTTGCAGGAGAAGATTAAGAATAAGGAGATCAGCATTCCGTTTGTTTTTTATGATGGTAGGTGTTGTGCATGCTCCAATTTTTGAAGTTGACATACGGCTAACACGCACTAGGCACTAATGTTGCTTCCCCCACCGGAGAGGGAGAGACGGTTAAGAAAGGCGAGGCCGTATGGCTCTTTCCCAAACGTGCTAGGAGAATGTCTAGATGCAGGGAGTGGCTCAGAGTTTCGGTCGATGATTTACTGCTCGTCCGCGGCGAAGCGACAATACCCCAGGTATTTCTTCCACCTCTTCATTCCTTTTCGCGATCACTAACTCGCTCGATAGCACTTTGAATTCTACTATTTTATCGTCAATCGCACCCTGGGGCCCAACGGATTATTATTTCATTTTCCTTCATCCCCATCGCCTACCCCCCAGACCCGCACTCCGAATCCCAATAGAGACAACCCTACAATGACTAATATGGTGGATCGCCGCTGGTACGAACTGATTAAGCAGATATTCCCCGCGAGCGTGTGGACAGAATTTAACCCACATAAAGATTACTCGAACACGGTAAGGCGGGATATGGGTGGGAATACTTTTTTTTTCTGGTTAAACCAGCTCCTTCTCAGTGGTCAACTCTGGCTGCTCCCTGGTTAGGGATGGGTGAATCTACTATCAGAAGGCGCTCTCTTGAAAACTACAGTATGATAGTATGATACCATATATGATATTTACTTCTTTTTTCTTACCTTTCCCTTATCTCTTATCATAAACTACAGGACCCGGTTCAATTATTGACCCCGATGTAAAACCATTCGTATGCTAGTTGCAAGGAAGAAATTCAATGAAACCAATAATTAGATGCGTCATCCTATTCCAAATGTCAGTTTATATCGGCGTTAACCACGGTACTAAATATGCTCAAAGGATGAACTTTAGAATTTCCAGAACGGAATCCATTCTTTTCTTCACATTGGAATTACCCATTGCTTTCACCGTAGCTACAATTCCTTCATTGTCTGACCTAAAAACCTTGTTATGATGAACGGCTTCATCGTCGGGTTTAACGACCTCCAATTCCGTGCCAAGGCTGACGGCTGCGCCGTTGTGGCTACCTGCAGGTAATTAGCTCCCTGATTTCATTGAATAAACAATCATCCTACTCAAGTCACCAAATCGGAGTTTCGTCTCCCTCCCGGTGCTGATGAGACTCTGATCTAGCAACGTGTGCGCTAGTGCTCAGGGGTGTCAGTAAAAATGGGAAGATATCCTTCTTGTCCTGACAGAATATGCGCTTGTACGGAATAAGTGGAGATAAAAACGAGATATCCAGAGATCGCATTCTTGGAATATGCGAGCCGGAGAATGCGGCGTGTCTGGAAATCCTTCACGCAAAGAAAGGCCTGGAGAGACAGAGGTGTGCCCCCTTCATGAATTGGTCCGTTCCCCAATACTAAACTGTCGCCTCCTTAGGGCAACAGCGACCAACCACCCCGGGAGCTGCGTGCGGCAAAGGTGGCGCCCCCTCAGATGAACAAGCTCCCACTACTCCCGGAACAACACACCGATTCCCTATAAGACCTAAAGGTATGTTTTCGACCGGCGGGAGTCCTTCCACCCGACAAGTGTTAATATGGTATAGGGAAACTTAGACCATGGGAGATATAGAGATATGGGAGGTTGTGTTTAGGCAATAGCAAGGGGGCCTAGGACTGAGAGGTGGAAGGGTTAGCTATGGCGGGGGTCATACTTTCTACTTTTTCATTTCTGTCCACAGGGACATACGTTCTCATAATGAGCTATACCAAGGCTCTGGTTTCAGTCCGGGTTGTGCTCGGACAATATTCAAGGTGGAGCGACATGGAAGCACTATCCTCACCAGATGTAATTATTGTGTATCGTGTGGTAACACTTTATTCCTTTCATTTGAGGCCGAGTGATAGCCAGTGATCGCCCAATTCCCGACCGCCCAGCTGACTGACAAACTTAATATGGATCCACCCCCTCAGAGCCTGTAATACATCAGCCTAGAGCCAATACGCCCATAAGGCCTATTTGCCATGATCCCGAGAGTACAGGGGGCTGGCCTTGGCTCTCTGCGCAAACTAAAACCACTGATTCCAGTTGTCCCGTCCGTCCAAGACGGGGTGAGGACGACGAAGGACCAGACTGTCTCGTCCTTGGACGGGACTGACTTCCCTGGCGCCATCCTGGACAGGGTGGATGACTGGAAACCCTGACTAAAACCCACATTAAGATCCTAGCACAACGGAAGACCAAGCCCCCATTTAGTCTACTCGGAGGCCCCCAAGCCTGGCCCATCGCACGGAGCGATACCGGAATCACTCCAAATTGACACTTTATCAATCGATCCATCAGGCAACGTTAGCCTTGAACTGATTCTGCGGGAGGCAGGCTGCTGGGTGAGGACGCTAGTACAGGTGGCGCTTACCTAATCTTGGGGCTAACCCGGAGTGGATGAACAGCCACTGGGTGAGTATATAGACGACTATACTAGCCCGACAAGCGCCAAGCCCAGATTAGTTATCCTATCTGCCCCCTCCCCCTTGCCTAGTACCATATCACGGGTATGATACTCAGGTGTGGGCTAGAGCGATCTCATAGGGTAGCCTAGCAGCCTGGAGAGTGATTGCGCAATTACAGACTGCAACGATAGTAGTTTGAAATTTGCAGTGAACAAACGATATCCTCATGGGTGAATTTTTTGCTATGCTGTTTACAAGAAAACATATCCCATCTTACAGTGATTATCTTCTCAAGGATAAAGAAGCGAAAAGGAAAAAAGGTGTCCTTTACAAAGTGCCAGGAAGGGTGAAAAAGGGGAAGGAGCAATTGCAAAAGGGGTTTCCACAAAACACAAATTCACAACCAACTCCAAACAGAAGTCACTCCCACTAACCAGAGACTAACCCTATTGCCATTTGTATAAAAAATCCTCAATACTAACTGGCAGCCATGGCATCCAGTAATACCATATATCATACCCGATTGTGTGCCACCCATCACCATATCTCCCACATCATCATCCCTACTGCCACTTTTATTCGGATCTCCACCCCTGTCCAGTACCTCAAAAGGCCCACCAAGAGCCATCAATTCCATTATCTTCCCCTTAAGAACTAGTCAGAACTGGTTGATCTTCAGGTCCCTTGCCTTTAGCTTAATAACTCTAGCTTCTGGTACACTCTGAGATCTCGAGAATTCGCTTACACAGTCTTCTGGGATAACGAAAACAATGTGTATATTTTTGATAGTCGACAATGATTCGCAAAGCTTCTTCACTCTACTAACTTTGATATCTTAGCTCTTGGTGATGGTGATTTGCAGTAGAACCAAGGTGTCTAAAGCACTAAACACTAGTCTATTAACCGATTCAAAGTTGGCGTTATAAGGGAGGAAGTATTTTCCGTTCGCATCTTTTTCGATACCTTTGCCACCCATCACTTGAACCTGTATGGCCCAACTGCTGGCATTTGTAAAATAATTAAGGGATTTGGACCGACATGTCTTGAATTTGGGGTGGGGTGTTGCAGTCTCTAATCGGATGTTCAGCAGCCTTAAAAGTTCTACCATTTCTAAATCAGTCAGGTGCATATGCCTCGAAAATCCAGCCAGCCATGGTTTGGAGCCAACCTTGACATGCAAGCTGATTGTAGAGCTCAAAACACCTCAGTTGTGACTTCATCTGTGCCTTCTCATAGACCTTGTAGGCAATCTATCTCATAGTAATTTGGGCTTTACGTCACAGCCTATCGTGTCTCTGATGCATAATAGCAATCCTATGTGAAGTGCGCTGATGTACACTACTCTCCACTGTCTGGAAACCCCCCTGTGCAATAAATGTATCTATTTCACCATCTATTTCATCCTGGTAGCCTTTGAGGATATGATAATAGGCACTGTCATTCATCACAGAGATTGTCTGTAAGCAGGTCCTGGCAATTGGGTCCAAACTTGTAAAGGTTGTGAAGAGTATTGCGATTTGGCATGGAGTAAGGTGCTTGGAATTTGCTAGACTATTACAAGACAGTTTGGTCAGTTGATGCATTGATTAGTAGGGGGGAAGGACTAGTACGTAAAAGCAGCCACAATCTCATCCCATCTCCAGTTGCCTATATAGTACAACACAACATTCCTATCCTTCGTCCACTGCCATGAATCTTTTACCTTGGCTGGTGAGGCTGCCAGCACTACAAACCAATCATGACTCTTAGTCCATCTTGCACCTCCAAGAGACTTTTCTGTTAGGATCCAAAGCCTTTTCTTTTGATCCTTGGGGAGGTGGAACAGGTACTTGGCATCTGTCTCTCTACTACAGAAATTGCTATCAAACAAATAGCACTCATTATCATCAATGTGAAAAGCAGTTGGTTGACCTGCTAAAATCCTGCGCACCAGGAGGTAAGAAAGAAAAAATGATTTTCCTGTATCTGTGTCAGAGGTGGGGGTCAGAAAAGGACTAATGCGAATGCTATGCATCCGAACCTGGTTGACCAACTAGTTTGAAATCGAGGTTCAAGTGTTCCGCTGGGTTCCCAGTCTTTGGGTTGACGTCTGTCTAGTTGTTCGACTCAATCTGCAATAGATTACCTTTGATTGTCTCAAACTCTTGACATACAAGAAGTCGATCCATTTTACAGGGAAGCTCCAACGTAACCTCGAGAACCTTGAACACTTTCTCCTTCTTTCCTTTTGCGAATTCTGGATCTGGAAAGGCCTCGTCTCCTATCTTCTTAAGATCTGCCTTATATCCTAGACAGAAGCCGTCTTCTGAGTAGGGAATGGAGAATATACGATCTTCGATGACCTGTAGCTGTTTTCCCCACCATTCATCATAGAGGCCCTGCATGGTGTCGAACGTATGAACACTGTTGAACCTGGAACAATGATAGAAGCTTAGTTTATTATGATGGTGAAAAGAATCACTCAGGCCCTGTTTGGTTGTGCTGGGCCCATTTCATTTTTACATACAAGCGACCGTTCACCTTCCATTGCAAAATGGAAGAACTGAATGGCTGTTTCGCAATGGTAAAAGCCATTGACTGTCCATTTCAGATACAGCCCTAATACAATGGTTGCTATACAGAATCATCACATGTAAATATTTATAATATTATTATCTGGTAGAATAAATTTTTTATGGTATAATATTATCAACAATGCATCTTTAATTCCTATATCCAACAATTCCATCATGAGTATGCAAGCCGACAATAATCGCATCCATGCTGCTATTATTCAACGACAAGTCCAGATTGCGATTCTAGCAATCTGGTTGGTCTGTAACGGCATTAGGCTCACACCCAGAGTTTTTTCACAAAGTTTCTAGTAGGAGTAGGAGAGGGAGCAGGAAGCTGAGGCAGGAGGACTCTGAGCAGGCAGCTACAGCTGGGGGAGCCGGGAGCTGGAGCTGGGGGACGCTGGTACCTAGAGCAGGGAGAGCTGGGAGCTGGAGTGGGGGGACCCAGAAGAGATCTGAATTTGGGAAGTGTGTTGGAGTGTTGAAAGTTCCTATTCAAGAAGGATTTGAAGTACCGGGCGGAAACAGTGGAGCAAGGTGGTCAACAGGATGCACAATCTGTTCCAGCATAACCAAGCAGGCCATTAATGGCTCCCTGCCCATTCCCCTCAACCCG